TGCAGGTCCCCTCGAGGAAAAGAAAAGTTAGGAGGGTTTGTACGTCTGTCTCACACAGGCACTGAGTCCCTTGCTGGTACTCAAGGAGCAGAATTGCCACACATGATCGCTTGCATCCTACCCTTCCCTGAAAGATAAATCAAAAGTTGTATTTTTCAAGCTATACTTCTAATTACTTCCAATTCACATGCATTCATCAGGTTGTACAGATGTTTCGGACACAGCACACTTGCAGAGGCCTTAGGTCTAGCACTAGTTCCTTGTGCCAACGATGCTGTAGCCTGCAAATGTTTCCTTACCTGGAGAGCTGGGTTTGGGCTTTGGAATGATAATGTCAGCTAAAGCCTGGAAATCAGATCAACACAGCCCCATTAGCTGGCTGCTATAAGTTACCTTCACAAGGGATAAAGAACCCGGCTTTGCAAGAATAAAACCTTATTTCTATGAAAAAGCATAGAAGTTTGCAAAATTATATGGGGTTAGTCATTAGAAAAGATTATAATTTGCCTTCAATTTTGCAGAAGCTGAGTGGTGATTTCTCAGAAACATTTACAATGGTCAGGAAATAACAAAAATGGAGAACACTGATGAACTTGTAGTCATGGGACAACCCTCCTCCAGTCTACTCAGTAGCTGGTACACAGGAATGAGTGCAAACGTCTGCGTGTGTGTTTAAACTTGTCTTTTCCACTCATATCTAGTGCACTAACTGGTGAAAGAAAAAAAAGCAAAGTTGTTATTTCATATTGGTGGCTGACTCAATTTACTTTTTGTTGATACTTAATGATTTAGGAAGGTTGTTAATATTATTTCATTATTACTAAGTAGTTCAGAGTCTGGGCTTTCATCAGTTATTGTTAAATTTAGAGAAATAAAAAAACATTGAAATGTGGGAAGTGAAGAAAAGGCAAACGTATGAGACAGCATTATCAGTATGTGCTATCCCCCCCGCAGCAAGGATTTCTGTCTCTTTCTGCTCATTTTTTGTGTGGTTATTTGCCTTTTCATTTTCCCATGATGATGTCAATATAAAGGGAAAAATGATTGCTGAAACAGAGGGATTTTAGCCTTTGATACAGAAAGATTATAGCCTGCAAACACGATAAAGAGTTCCTAGTCTTATTTGGAAATCTTTCATTGACTTCAGCAGTAGCAGAATCTGGCTCCAAATGCATTTGGATTATGTGTGCTCCACAGGAAATGTTCAATATTATGTGCAGCAAAGTTAAGGATCAGAATGTGCCTTTAAAAGGAAAACGGAATTTTCTTAGAAAACAAGAAGCAGACTCTTGCTGCAGTTTCACTGGTGGGATGAGCTGCAGTGCAGACTCCAGGCCTTAGAGCTCCAAATATTCTGTTCAAGAACAAAGCCAGGTCTTTCCTCTAGCTCCTATTTCCAGATTTCCTCTCTTTTATATATATGTACGCATACACACACATTCTTATATTTATATATGTAAATATGTAAACATATAAATATGCAAAATATTTATATTTATATTTATTTAATGTTTTACAGACCATCATTTGAAATGGACACTAAATGAAGTCTAAAATCTAATGCTCAGGACTTTATCTTGAATGCCATATGGATTGTTTCCATCTCTCTGCTGTTTTTCTCATTGTTATGGTATTTGCTCCCATACACACCTGAGTGTTTTCTTTCTTTATGGAAAGTTTCCTTCAATATGCTGGAAATAGAGAGTCACAGATGAAATGATTTGAAAAGGTGAAGGAGAGCAGCTCTGTGGCCTCATCAGCCCAACTCATGGGGCGATGGTTTTGGCACGGTGTCACAGGCTGGTGGGTTCTCAGCTGCAGCGATACAAACCAAACAGCATCTCCTCCCTACAGCAAAGACATTTCTCTCGCGGTAGGCGTCCCCAGAGGTCTTAACAACGTGCCGTCTGGTGATATCTCGGTCTTTGGCAGAAGTAGAAGGCTGCTGCAGGTGCAGACCATTTGATGTTCTGCATGTTGAGGAGGTGACTGGCTGCTGTTCTGCCGTCATCTCTGGTTAATCCATTCCTGAGGTCACACTGTGATTCCCGTAAACCATCAGAGCACCAGAGATTGCAGCACCGGTGTACATGAGTAAATAAAAAAGGTTATTCTTGCTGCAACTCCCTAAGTTTTGTGCTGCTTAGTTTTTCCCCACTTTTATTACGGTCACATTGGAAGCTCTGTGCATCTGGATTCTCGATGGAGAGGCTGCAGACTCAGACACGTGTTAGGCAAAGGGATGGCCTCCCTGCTTGGTGCCTCTCTGCCTTTGGGGTCATTCCCGGCTCACCCAGGACCGTGCCGCTGGACGGCTCTGTCTGGAACAGCACACAACTGGAGCGGAGTAAGGGATTCACGTCCCTCAGCTCTCTTACCCCAGGTTTGTTCCCCAACTGTCCCTCCATGCACACTTCTTGTGCTGCTCGTGGCCAGAAGCTTCACATGATGACACACAAGTATCTGCAGCCAAGACCTTATTCTTCACCCTTATGAACTCCCAAGCGCCCAAAGCCCTGTGAGGTTTATAAGAATTCAGTATCAAAAGTGAATCTTCAGTTGTTTCTTGCCAATGAGATACATTTCTCAAAAAAGCCATGTGGCTTTCTTCATTTTTACTGATTCCAGGAAATGCCTGATGAAGGCAGGCAGACTTTTTTCTAGTTATAAATAGCTGAAAGAGTCACCAATCATTTAACATGATTTACCAAAAAACCACACCTTAAATTCTGCCTTTTCTCTATGGCCATAAGATCCGTTCAGACGTGTCTCTGCTGAACTAAAGCAGGCAGCGTACATGTAGCAGTTACGGTTTTTTAATGATTCATATCTGTCTGAACCCTGAAATCACTGTTCAGTCGTTATTCAGACCTTACTCAGGGGTAATTCCCATTATACGGTGGTGCTTCTGCGGCAGCTGTTGCAGCTCCTGGCTTTGATGTCTTTTCCTTTTGCTTTGTGGCGGCACCGTCCTATCAGTCGAAGTGGCTCCTGGTGTTGGATCTTCTTCCTTTTTCTTACAAAGAGGAATTGGTGTGAGCTAACAGCTTAGAGTTGTGACTCCCCAGAAAGACACTCTGCAACTCTTGCTTGTAGTTCAATGCCTACGAACTGCAGCAACCAGGAGCAGACGCGCGGACACAGAATGCATTCTTGCTTTTCTTCTTTCTTACTTTTAGATGTGGAAAAAAGCTTTTCTACAATCTGCCACGGTCATCACAGAAATACAATGTTCTGGTCCTGGAAGTGGATGGGTTTTATTCTGGAAATGGGTAGAAGAGGGTATTTCCACAGCTTTAAAGCAGTATCTTCCTCCTCACCTTGCTGTCTAGTCCTTGCTCCTCTGCTCCTCTCTTTCCACAGAGCTTTTGGGAGGGTTGAATGGAATAGCAGGTAACGGCTTTTTTTTTTTTTTTTTTTTTTGCTTTCTTTGCACAATTTCAGTAGCCTGGATGATAAACAGATATCTACAACCTATTGTATAGGCATTACTAGTTTGAAGCCTGATGGCCAAAGTCAAGAATGAGAGTAGGAAGTGGAAATTTATGTTCCAGCTTTGCCAGGTGTCTCCAGGCAGATCAGACTGTCTGTACGCCCTATTTCCATGTTTGAAATGAGAGAAAATAAGACAGATCTATGCCACAAGTCTGTTCTGAAGCTTTATTTACCTTAAGTCTTCAGGCAACAAGCAATGCATGGAGACAAAGAAATTTTTTTCTGCTTGTTTGCTCTTTGCTGGATTTCGGAAAGAAAATTCCAAATTTTTTTTTTCCTGCTGTTCCAAGCCTTGCTGACAGTTGGAAAGTTTTGTCCATAAACCTATATATGCATAATTGTACTAAAAAGAGCTATTACTGTGATGACAAATGCAGCAGTGCGATAGCAGAGCCAGAGGAAATCCCCTCCAACGTTATAAACCATGGTGGCAGAATTATGCTGGGGTAGCTCCCCTGCAGTGCTGGGGCCCCGCTGCCGCAGTCTTGTTGGGTTAGAAACAGCAACAACAATAGTCACATCCCTTATGTGCCTGTGCTGGTGCAACTTTAAAGGGTAAAGCACAACTTAAGCGAGGACTATGGTATTCTTTCTGTTGCTGTGGCTCTGTGGATTTTGGGTGTGAAGAGGTGCGGTCCCTGACTGACAGGACACGGCTGGCAAAAACCTCAAGCAGAGACACAGTTGTACCAGCCAAACCTGTGGATTTTGGTTGTGGGGCAAGGTGGGGCTGAAACAGACTCCACTGGTGAAATCTCAATTTTAGCAATACCCTCTGCATGCCCATTAGAAATGCTTCTGCAGCGCAGCTCTCTCAGCCAAGCACTTACAAGACAGAGATGGCTTTGCTCAGGCGGCTGCAGAAGGGAGCTTTTTGGTATGCTAAATATTTTGTCAGAGTAAGGTCTATTTTCTTTCTCTTTAATTTTCCCAGTCTGTTGCTGAAAGGCTGCTATTGTAAGTCACAGCTGGGCAGGTAACCATCTGTTAATGAGTAATTCTTGTTTCTGATATCAGCATTGATCTGGTCCGTATTTTGCAATGCAATGTCATCTCATGAGTGGGCTTGCTTGGAGCACCTTGTTATTGCTATGCCGTGCTTT